GTGGCCAGGTGCTGGAGAAAGTCCAGTCTGCCTTAAGGCCTTCTGCAGAAATGAGCTGCTTACTGGGGAAGAAACCACAAGGTGGTAATGGGAGCCACTTTGTAGCTGGTTGGGTTGTTGACATTCCTAACTCTGGATGATGTGTAGACATCAGAGGCTTCCCTGCCTCTCTGTCCTTGAGGCATGTGTAAGAACCAGAGGTGTCATTTTATGTCCTTGGAATTTCAGGTGATGAGAAGACAGTTGAGAGGACAGGTGATTCATCAAGGGCTGTCAGCAGTGGAAACAAGAGGGCAATATTTCTATCAGTATGGCTTCTTCTGCGTCCCCTAATACCTCTTCTTCCGCCTTCCATCCCCGTGCTCTTTCCTTGTGTGGACAATCAGCCTTTTTTCAATTTTAAGTAAAGGGCCTATAAAAACTCGGTTCAGACTGGCCTCCAACTGAGCTGAGCCTAGGCCTACAACTGACTGAGATCCCAGCTTGAGTTCTACTCTTGCCGTCTACTGTACTCCCACACCCCATGGGGATGGAGTGGACGTAAGTGGGGAGCATATGCAAGAACACATCCTGTTGACCTTGGAAACAGTTTTGCCTTGGCCATCATTGTCTAGAGCATTTGGTCTTTTCTTCCATGTTTTATGTTTGAGCCCAGAGGAATCTAAGAGCAGAGTGATGGGCTCCCTGGCCAGTTGGTGAGGCATAGACTGGAGGCCTGGCCACCCTAGGTCCTTCAGGTTTCTGTGGTCTGTTCTCCCCTCAGTGCCAGCTTGTTGACTGAGCACTGTGGCAAGTTCCCACCTGGTTACCTCAAGGAGAAGTAAATGTTTGGCTCTTCTGTGACAGGGAAGGTAGGCCTAGAAAAGATGGAGTGTGGCTAAACATGAGGTGTGCCACCAGAGCCAAACTGCCACTTCTAGGATGAGATGCTTCTGGATACAGCAGAGGGACAATAGTAGATCGAATCCTAATTTAGGAGCCTCTGGTATGGCAAGGAAACTTCTGAAGCATCACAGAACATTCCAGAATAATCGTCATGCTGACTTTCTCCTAGGTCTTTCATTCCCTTGGAGGGTCAGGTCTGGTGCCTGGTGATAGACCTGAGGTGCTAAAATAATTCACTTCTCTGACCTTGAGCTCAGTTAACACAGGGGCTGTGACCCAGCTTCACCAAGCAGGGCCTGGTGGCTTGAGCCAGCAGCACACTGGAGCCTTTGTCTCTTTCCCCTGCTCTTCTTAGCACCCCTGGCAGGTGTCCTCTCTGCCCTTAAGGGCAGCTGGCTCAGCACCCCTGGACGGTTGAGTAGATCACCTGAAGTCACACACAGAACTGGCTTCCTCCTACCCTGGTGAGGACCACTGCCCTAGCCTTGTGTCCCAGCTGTGGCAAAGAGTTGTGTGTTTTCTTCTCCCTCTTCTTTCTCCCCTCCAAAGAGCCTTTAAAAACTCTTTGCTTGCTAAGAATAACATATGGTTTGGGGGGTGCTTTTCCATTGGAGCAGAAAGCACCCTTGTTCATGTCTGCCAAAAGGCCAAAGCTACTTGGGTTTGGAGTGTCCTCAGCAGCTCCAAGATTCTGGTTTCAGGCTCCTTACTGTCCCTTGACCCTTTGTGGGGTGAGTTCAGCTCTCAAGTGTGGGCCACACAGCAGCACTCTGCTTGCTGAGTCTGTCTGCTTCGTGGGGACTGGCCTGGACTGTGGAGCCCCAACACTGTCTTGTGGTCGTCAGCAGAGCCCTAAGCAGCATAATTCCTAGCATAACAAGCAGCTATGCTGGCAGGGAGAGGGGAGGGAAGGTGGCCCGGGAGAAATGAAAGTGGCCTGTGGCTTACCTTTCTTGCTACCAGTCAGAAGATGCCTCTTTGCTAGCACTCCAGCTGTCTTAGCAGCCACATGAGGGGTTTAGGGGCCGTGGAGAGCAAGCACTTCATAAATGCCCCTTGAATACCTGTCCTCCAGAGCTGCTAAAACCACCCTAGAGTGCCTATATTTGAAGTGGCTCTGTTAGTTTTTTTCAGAGTATGTTGAAGTTGCTGCAGATGAATTTGAAGACTGTATTTGAAGTGGGAACAGTGTTCTGTGGTTCTGCAGCAGGAGTCCTGTAATACAATACAGCCTGGCCTCTGAGGCATCCCTGAGGGGCGTTTCCCATCCCAGCTCTTTAGGGCATCTCAGACCTGGATCTAGGGTGCCTCCTGAGGCTGAATTGTCACATCTGCTTAGAGGCACGCCAGGTGTGTGGCTCTACATAGCATCCAGGGCGGCTCCTTTGTCTTCATGCTGAGCGCATACTGGTTAAGGACACACTGACTTGAGTGTCGTTCAGATCTGGCTTCAGGTTCATGAAAAATTCAGTTTCTGGCTTTGCTGGCTGTGGATCGTGTTTCCTAATCACTGAACCCAAGTTCCTTATCTGTCAGGTAGGGGTAAGTTTCCCGGTTTCTCTTAAGGGAGACACTGAATGCCAGGTGCTTAGCATGATCTGCCCTGGACAGATGCTGCTGCTGCCCGTCATCTCTTCGCCTGTTTTCCTGCAGCCACACGGACCTCCTCCCCCTTGCTGGCAGCACAGCACATGCTATGTGGACTGCTCATAGACTGCTGGATGGAGAATTGCTTTCTTTGGGCAATGAGCTTAGTCATTTTTGCCTAAGAGTGGCTCGCTCACTTGGTGGTGTTGGAGAGTTCTGAGTCTGAAAGGAATGCTTGCAGACCACCAGTTTTGCTGTTGCCTAATACATCCATGGCCACTCAAAGTGTATCACACCAAAGAGTAACATTTTATGTCCCACAGTCTGTGCACGCCCCATGTGTGGAACCTAAAGCTTGAACGCCCCTAGGATCGTTGTGTGACATGTGCTGCAAGCCTGGAGTTGTGATTGTTTTAGTGGAGAGCAAGGTTAGCCACAAGGTATTCCAGACAGTTCCAGCAGTAGCAGCAGCTTCGTGTTTGAGCTGAGAATCGAAGCTGGGAGAACCTTGCTAGTTATGTCTTAGAATAATGATAGCCAGATTGTATTTATTTATTTCGAGACAGTCTCACTGTGTAGACTGGGCTGGCCTTGAATTCAAGGTCCTCCTGCCTCAGCCTCTCAAGTGTTGAGATGACAGGAGTGCCACCACATCTAGCCCTTATAGCCAGATTCTGAGCACTTTAGTTCAGGTACTCAGCAAGGCCCTGGCCCTAGCTTGGGCCATTAAATTTTCTTTCTTTGTTTTTTTTTTTTTTTTTTTCATGGTACTGAGGCTTGAACTCAGGCATACTCCACCAGCCCTTTTTTGTGAAGGGTTTTTTTCAAGATAGGCTCTCACAGGGGTGAGCCACAGTAATCCAGTGGGGGTGGGTACCAATGCTGTAGATGAGAAAAGTGAGGCAGAAGAGGCTGAGTGACTTGTCCAGTGCAATTTCTCTTGTGGGCAGCTGTGTCTGTGTGACACTGACAGTCACGGTAAGCTGTGTGGCTGTCCTAAGTCACTCTGTATTGTCTCTGGTTAAATAACTTACCCTAGAGTACATTGCTCGTAAGTGACAGGGCCAGGGTTCAGGCAAGCATGCTGTTAGCCACTTAGAACCTACCCTGTTCCTCTGTCACAAGCAAAGGCCCAGAGGTGGAGCATCCAGTGGGAGAGCCTAGGGTTCTTGGGGAGGAAACCACCACAGTGATTGACTTCTTCCTGGTCTGAAGCAAGGAGGGTCATTTCCCCTCTAATTAAGTTATAACTTTACTAAGGGAAATGATTAACAAAAGAAAAATCATTGTACTACGTGCTTTCATTTTCTATTGCTTTTCAGTTCCTGACTCTGCTACATAATTCTGTCCTTTATTTTGGCAGTATAGGAATTTAAACTCAGGGCCTCACACTTGTTAGGTAGGCACTCTACCACTTGAGCTATGTGCCCAGCCCTTTTTTGCTTTAGTTATTTTTCAGATAGGGTCTCGTTTTTTTCTTGGGCTAGCCTTGAACCTTGATCCTCTGGACCTCCACCTCTAGAGTAGCCCATAATCCTACTTTTTTGGATATAATTTGCTTGACCATAGTACATCTTTCTGTGTATACCTTTTTATTTTTTAGGTTAGGGCAAATTCTAGAAATAGAATAATCCATTTAAACGGTTTACATATTTGTGTTATCGCATAACTCTTCAAAGGAGTCCTATTATTTTAACAGTCATTGGCAATATTTTCTTCTGCTGTTGAGCCTCATGAACGTGAGGTACTATTTTTATTTATGTTTTATTATTTTATTTTACAGTGCTGGAGATTGAACCCTGAGCCTTACTCATGTTAGGCAAGTGCTCCACCACCAAGCCATACTCCCGTCCATCCCCCAGGTGTAACATGAAAGTCTATTTTGCTGTTTTAATAAGTAGTAAAATAGCACAAGTCAAGTTTTTTGGATTTCTTGAGCCAGGGTCTCACTGTATAGCCCAGGCTAACCTGGAACTCACGATCTTCCTGCCTTTCGATGCTGAGCACTCAAAGTGCTATGAGCTACAAATCTGCCCCTATTTTTTTAACTTCTAAATTTAGCTATACATGCTGAATTTGTCTTTTATCTTAATTATCATTCCATCCTTTTTTTTTTTTTTTGGCAGTACTGGGGTTTGAACTCAGGGTTTCACACTTGCTAGGCTGGTTCTCTACCACCTGAGCCACTCCACCAGCCCTTCTTTGTGTTGGGTATTTTCAAGGTAGGTTCTCTCAAACTGTTTGCCTGGACTGACTTTGAACCGAGATCCTCCTGATCTCTGCCTCTTAATAGCTAGGATTACAAGTGTGAGCCACCAGCCCCCAGCTTCATTCTATCCCCTTTAAAGAAGGGTTTCTCCAAGGCCAGGCAGAGGAAGAGAGAGAGGGGTGAAGTCAGACTTTAATGCCAACTCTATTCAGGGTTTGAAGGAGGGACCTGTGTGCTTGGTGTGGGGCTGAAGGATCTGTTGTTACTGCCAGGTCGGAAAGGGAAAGGCTTTGACTTCACTGGCTTTGTGCTCTTGCAGGCATACTTGATCACCATGAAGTTGCTGTGTCCAGGCTGCTTCCTGTTGGCCCTGCTCAGCATATGGAGGGGTGCTCCCCAGGTTCACGCCTCGTCTACAGCTGGGCCGCCTGTCAGCACTGCCTCTTTCCTGGAGGATCTCATGCAGCGCTACGGCAAGAATGGCAGCCTCACGCTGCCACAACTGAAGGTCCTGCTTAACCACCTGGATGTGGGAGTGGGCCGGGAGAATGTCACCCAGCCTGGGCAGGGACACAGGAACTTGTCGACGGTAAGGCTTTCTTCTGAACCAGCACCATCTCTGGCCTCTGGGGTTCCCTGTCTAGACAGGAACAGGGTGGCCGAGCAGCCTGGTAGGATAAGGCAGGCAGGTCTTTGTGACAGAGCAGACAGCCAGTTCTTCTCATCTGTCTGGAACACCACAGTCTGCGCCAGTAGAGCCCCTGACTAGCCACATGGTGCTCTTACAAAGGGCAGCCATGAAGTCGGGTCCTCAGTTCCCCAGACTATCTTTGGAGCTACACCTGGGTCACTTGGAACTGCTGGTAAGCCATGGCTCCCAGGACAGCATTTGCAAGAGTTTATAGTTTCCATTTTGCATACTGCCAGGTGAGTCTTACAGTCCCTCCAGGTGCAGGGGGCATTTTCCTGAAAGTCCCTATGTACATTCCTGAAGGGACCAGGACTAGAACCCAGGGAATGCAGTTCTTTGTTCTTTCTTTGAGATCATCTTGGTTAATCAGAGTCTGAAGCTACTTGTGGCAATGCTGTGGAAGCCAGCCTACAGGGTTTTGTACATCTGTTTTGTTCCTGTGCTGGGTGTTGTGAGCAGTCGAGAAACGTGAATCATATTTAAGTAGTTTTCTCTGGGTGGAGATCTCAGTTCTCTGGAATGGAAACAAAGCATCACATTTTATGGGCTGGGCAGTTAATTGTGGGATTCAGAAACGAGAGAGGGAGACGAATGTGCTGGAATAGTCAAGGAGGGTTTGTGCAGGAAGTGTCCCGTAGCCACAGGTTGAAGGATGAATACTCTGGAGTGAGGAAGTGGACAAGGGGACCACATGGTGTGGATAAAGAGCCACCTGCAGGTGGCAAGTGTCTGTGTCAGGGAGGAAGCTGAGTATGCCACAGGGATGGCAGAGTGTGAGGCAGCCTTAGCCCAGAGGACTTCTCTTGGGCCCTGCATCAACATCCTGGGATCACCAGAGTCCAGCCCTCAGCTTATAGGGCCAGAAACTTCTGTTGTCAGCACTTTCAGAGGGCTTACTCAGTGGTAAGCCCAGGTAAAACTAAACTCAGAAAAGGACTGAGGGCTACATGTTTAGTTAGTGAAACTGCAGTTTTTCCCAGGAGCAGTATATGAGAATGATGTGCTAATTCCTCCCAAGGTGCCTGCGTGCTCATTGTAAGGTCAAGGGACTAATATTGCCCAGGTGTGGCCTGACTGGGTAGCACCAATGTTTCTGAGGAAAACCACCTCACCCCTCCACACGCCAGTATCATGCAGAAGTGTGTATAATCTGTAGTTGACCATGATAGCTCCCTGGGCTGTTATGTAGCCAGATTTGGTATCTGAATGAAGCTTGTGTCCCCAGGTCTACAAAGAGTTTTCCTGAAACCATAACCTCGTCACAATGATTGGAATCTGGTTGTTCTAAAACTTGTCCTTGCAGCCATTCACAGATGGGTGTTACTTAGTACATGGAACTTCAGTGTTTGGCTGATATCTAAGATTACTGGTCAGGTTTTCAAGTTTAGGGACTTTCTTGCTCCCATCCTGAGAGATGAATTCACTGATTTCCTGTGGCTTGGGTATGTCTATCTTTTGTCTTTCAGAAGGCTGAGCAGGTTGCTGCTAAGTGGGGCAAGTTTTGGTGTTTAGGCTCTAAGAGGCTTTCTCTTCTCCCCCTCCCTCTCATTTCAGTGCTTCAGTTCTGGAGACCTCTTTGCTACCCACAATTTCAGTGAGCAGTCTCAGATCGGGAAGAGGGAGTTCCAGGAGTTCTGCCCCACCATCCTCCAGCAGCTGGATTCCCGTGCCTGCACCTCTGAGAACCAGGAGAATGAGGAGAATGAGCAGACAGAGGAGGGAAAGCCGAGCGCCATTGAAGGTGAGGAGGCCAGAAGTGGAGGGCAAATAGAACAATGATGGACTGATAGTGACGCGCTCACAAGACTGCTCTGTCACATTGCCAGACCCTTGGTGGACTGGCTGAGGAGCACTTAATGTTGGACTTTTTGACCAGCCCATGGGCGACTTTTTTGCCTACTTTTCTTTTTTGGTTTTTGTTGATCAACCTTTAAGACCTCCTTTATCTGCCTCATCCCCCCAGCCCCAGCCCCCAGTACTTCTGCTCCAGTGACAGTGGACTTACCAGGTTTGTGAGTGAACACCACAAAGTCTCGGTGCATCAAGTGCCACCTGAGGCAATGTGTGCAACCAGCGTCACGTCTCACTGTTTCTTACTTTGTCACTTAACTCATGGTATTTTTTGGTTTACCAGTTTCATCATCTAAATGGTAAGCTTCTTTTAGATAGCAACCTAGGCATCTTTTTCTGAGGCTTCGCTGCAGCACCTATCAAGAGACAGACTCAACAGACATTTTCTGAAGGGCGGATGGGACTCTGTCTGCCCGGATCACCCCTGAGGTCAGAATGGGCCCGGCCTGGCAGCAGGAGTGCTTGCCATCAGTAATGGGGCCCCCATTTGTTCTTGTTCCTCCGCAGTGTGGGGCTTTGGTTTCCTCAGTGTCTCACTGATTAACCTGGCCTCTCTCCTGGGAGTCCTCGTCCTGCCATGCACGGAGAAAGCGTTTTTCAGCCGTGTGCTCACTTACTTCATCGCCCTGTCCATTGGAACGCTGCTCTCTAACGCGCTCTTCCAGCTCATCCCAGAGGTGCAGTAGAACAGGCGCGCGTCCTCCTTCCCTGGGCTGCCAGAGCCGAGCCCTCCTCTGGCTGATGTGCTCACCCTATGCTCTTAAGATTCTGAACAGCTGCCACCTGAGAAATGAACTGACCTTTCTTCATATCAAGGGCCACCAATGCCTTCTCTGGATCTCAGGAGCCTTCTCTCACTCCTCTGGGCACTTGGTGGCCTCTGGCCTCTTCAGGTGATGTCAGATGCAAGGCTCTTAACACCCCCTGCTGGGAATCTCTTTCTCCATTCCTGAGCCCCATTTGTAGGACTACAAAGAGAAGCTGAAGCTGATGGGCTGTCCATGTCCTTGGTGCTGTGTACCTTACCCTGTATCCTGGGGGGGTACTTAATTGATTATCCATCTGGAATGAGGTAGAAGGGAAAGAAGTTACCAATGGATACAAAGAATGACCTAAAAAGTGAAGGATCCTGATTTTTAAGCAGGCCATCTTTTGTAGCATACAAAGGCAAATGTAGAGCAAAAATGATTTAATAGAATAAAGAAGCAAAATTCAAAACATAAAGTAAACTAAACTAAAGGGGAACTCAATCTTTTGTACCTTGCATCTTGACCATTTCCTGATAGGACTGAATTCTTGGTACCCTTCCTTACTTGACTGTTTTTAAAGTTTGGTAATTTTGTTTTTTAATTGTTATCACTGAGGAGCTATAAAAATAAGACCCAAGTTGACAGTCTACCCTCCTCTTTAGTTCAGACAGGGATCCTGTTGTCTTGAGGCCACAATGTACAAACACCTGGTGATATAAACACTCTTTGGAGTGGCAGAAGGTGCCTTTCCTAAAAAAGCACGTCTGCAGCCTCCCAGCCCTTCTCAATAAAAAATCCAACCCAGAAAGTTGCCAGATGGATGTTACACTTTGCCTGTTTCTTCTTCATGATGAAGGAAGAAATGTTTTCGGAATAACCACTTAGGCCAGGCACCCATGGCTCATGCCTGTAATCTAGCAACTCAGGGGACAGAGATCAGGAGGATTGCGGTTTGAAGCCAGCCCAGGCAAATATCTCATGGGATATCTTGAAAATAACCCAACACAAAAAAGGGCTGGTGGAATAGCTCAAGTGGTAGCATGCCTGCTTAGCAAGCGTGCATTTTAAAAGTACTGCAAAAAGAAAAAGAATAACCACCTGATGCCATCTCAAAGTTCCACATGGATCTAGCAAACCCTCTTAGTGGAGGCCTCATCTTGGGCTATTTTTGCAGCTCCAGAAATTGAATTAATTAACTTTTTTTGAGATTTGAAATGAAAAGCCTTGTTGTCTGTCATTATCTATGCTCCACCTTGTGGTTCACAGAGGAGTGTCATACTGGCACCAGTCTGTCCTGCCCATTCCTGGTGCTGTATTTAGCCCAGAATGTGTCACCCTGGGAAATGCAGTTGAAATATATATTTTTTTGTGGTATGTGATCTTGGAACTCTTCTCTACACTTGGATTCCTCACAAAGCAAGTGGAAATAAGCAAAAATAACTGAGAAGTTGAGAAATTGAATTTTATGGGCATTGGATCTTATTTGTTGACTGTCCCTTCTGCCCTGCATGTGACTTTGTTGTATCTTGCACAACCCAAATCTTTCCGCAGGTGATGTCACAGATTGGATATGCAAAAGCAAACCCAGCAGCATCCTGTACATTCACTTTCCACTTGCTTCTGTGTCCTATCAAAGAGCTCTTGAGCTAAAACTCTGATGGACCTGAGTGCACCTCAGACGTGTGACAAGGCAGCACCCTGCCCTGCTTACCAGTCACACCAGCTAGCAAATGTAACTCAGGCTGTCAGAGGCAGCAGCAACAGTAGTCACAGGGTTCCAAGGCCACCTCAAATTCCTCTTCATTTCTCTCGCACGATTGAAGGAAATTTTATCAGACTTGAATCACTAATAAATTTTCTATTTCTCTCTCCCTCCCTACTTGTCTCTCTGGTTTTTTCTTTTTGTTTCCTTTGTTAATATCCACAACTTTGCCTATTGCCTCCCCATTTTCTGTCTTCTTTCCCCTAAATGGTGGTTGTCCTGCTCCCTGTCCTGGGTGGGCTGGCAGTGTGGGGATACGGTCTCCTCTGTGTCACCGTCATCTCCCTCTGCTCCCTCATGGGGGCCAGCGTGGTGCCCTTCATGAAGAAGACCTTTTACAAGAGACTGCTGCTCTACTTCATAGCTCTGGCGATTGGAACCCTCTACTCCAACGCCCTCTTCCAGCTCATCCCTGAGGTATGGTAAGCCAGAGCACTAGCACTGGAGCACGCCCATCTCCTTAGGGAACAGTGGGCACAGTGGGAGGACCCTCAATTTACATGGAAGGCAGAGGGAGGGAGCCTCAGGGTCCTCTCCTTTTGGAAAATGAGGCTAGGACTTAGGTTAGAGAGTTTACATAGCATAGGTTTAAGAGCCAGGTTCAAATCCCAGCCTTTCCATCTCCAGGTTCTACAACTTGGGTCAGCTATTATCTCTCTGTGCTTCCCTTTCCTTGTGTAAAGTGGGGAAAACTACAGAACTGATCTGAAGGTCAAATAGTGCGGGTTCAGTGAGTTACTTGTAAAATGCCTGGTGCCTAGAAAGTACTGTGACTGTTGAGTGAAAAGAAGTAGTATAGGTAAGTCAGTCACTTTATGGCTCTCAGTTTGGGGCTTTAGTGCAGACAAGTATAAACACATCAACAGAATCCATGGGTCTCAGTAAAAAAGACCAGTTCTCAGTAGGAAGTTAGGGGCAAAGGGAAGTTGAACAAAACAGTCTGGTTTTACATACACTGATGGCATTTTTGTGCCTTGCCCGGGTTAGTGAAAAAATACTACACAGAAGATAGAGTTGCTTAGTGTTGTAAGGTTCAGTAGTCAGCCTTGGAGATTTTCATCTGATTCTAAGTCATCTCTTCAGTAAACCCACTCATTATAAAAAGCATAAGGCATTTCACTGTAGGTGGTCTAGCAGGCCTCAACAGAGTTAAAAGATGACTCCGCATGCCTCTTGGAACACCTTGTGCTTTCCAAAATGTTTTACATTCTTAGTGGACCAACTCTGTGATGTCTGTTAGAACAAGTAATGTTTTACCCATAGACTCTGACCCACACAAGAGCCCCTAGCCTAAGCCTACAGTCCAGGTCTGGTGATTCCCAAGGCTGTGTTTTTTAATTCTGCTGTCCTTCCTGGCTTTGTGTGGAGAGGGGTAGTTGCCCCTTTCATGTCGCTTTTCCCTCCAGCAGTCCTGTTCTCCTGGAGAAGGGTTGCCAGTGTGTTGCTTCTAGCCCACACCTTGGCCATTGTGCTTCTTGGAAGACAACACTAGAGGGTCATGACGGAATTTGGTCCTCTTAAACCCTGAAGCACTCACTTTTTTTTTTTTTAATGGCACTGAGGTTTGAACTCAGGGCCTACACCTTGAGCTACTCTACCAGCCCTGGAAAAATATTTTTTTTTCCAGACAGGGTTTCCTGAATTATTTGTCTAGGCGGGGTTCGAATTGCAATCCTCCTTATCTCTGCCTCTTGAGTACCTAGGATTACAGGCATGAGCCATTGGTCCCTGGCAGTACTCACCTTTTAAGTAGTCCAGAGCTTCCCTTTGTTAGAATCAACTAATAATCTGATCTGTTTTGAGAGAGCTGGAATTCATTTTGTTTTATTTTTTTGAGATAGGATCTTTTCTGTGTAGCCCATGCTGGCCTTGAACTTGAGATCCTCCTGCCTCAGCCACTCAAATGCTGAGATTGGAATTTATTTGAGGTTTGTTTCCTGTCAGGAAATGGAGGAGCAGGTCATTAGATGTTTTGCACTATAAATCAAAGAGATGAACTTGGGCTAGAGTTTCCCTGGTTTCCACTCGTACTCTTTTCTCAGTGAATTTTTTTCCCCCTCCCATGTAAGTGAAGTTTTTAGGAAGAACTCAAAACAACCATCATTTTTTTAAAAAATTGTTTACATTTTAAAGACATGAGGTCTCGCTGTGTTTCGAAGGCTGGCCTTGAACTCCTGGGCTCAAGTAATCCTATGTCAGCCTCCTAAATACCTGAGACCTGAGATGTGTGTCACTGTGCCTGGCTTTAAATTCCCCAAAGACTTTCGCCTGTAGGGGTATTGCCTGTCATATTGGTTTGTGGTCCCTGCGAGGTCTGTGGTCAGGAAGACACTGCAATTCTTACTGTTTACTAGGATTTCCCTTTTTAGAAAGCATAATTAAACCACTTCCCATTTTGTTTACAGGCAGAGCATCCAGAAACACTAGCTGAGTGGAAAGCAAACACAAGTACCCTCTCCTTAAATGTGGAATTCGCTGACAGCTTGCTTTTATAGCTATGTACCAAGAAAAATTAAAATAGAGTCTTCATTAAAAGTAGAAAAATGCTGGACATGTGGTATATGCTGTGATCCCTAGCCCTAGGGTGGTGAAGACAGAAGGATGGGGAGTTTGAGGCCAGCCTGTACTGCATAGTAAGACCTTGTCTCAAAAAACCAACCAAACAAAAAGTACAAAGACATCGCCAGAGCTGCTCTTCCCTGAAATTAAAATCCTAAATGTGGTCTGTCTTTCACATTAGATGAGTGAGAGAGAACCTAGCCAGGCAGATGACATCATATTGGGAATATCAAAATTAGATTTTGCTTATGGGCAGAGTTATCACAGGACCTCTCTTTCCTTTCCTGAAGTTGAGGGAGTAGTTAAGAGGTGAGAGGGAACCAATGAAGGTTTTTCATTTTCTTAAACTCACTGTGTTTTCCTGGACCCGCAGGCTTTTGGTTTCAACCCTCTGGAAGATTATTATGTCTCCAAGTCTGCAGTGGTGTTTGGGGGTTTCTACCTTTTCTTTTTCACAGAGAAGATCTTGAAGATGCTTCTTAAGCAGAAAAATGAGGTGAGGCCCAATTATTGGTACAGGAAGTTGTAGGAAGTGACCTGCCTCAAAAAATGCTGATACAGCGGCCAGGTGGGGTGCTGCATCACCAGTGCAGGGAGGTGGCACCATTTCCTTTACGTTGTATGAGAAACCGTAAGTGTCATGAGTAGATCATCCTGTTTCACCTTGTAAGGATATTAGCCAGGCTGGAGATCAGACTAGAGATAGATCTGGCCAGGGAGCCCTTTACTAGCAGCAGTGGTTTTCTCCTTTGTTTTGTTCTAGATTGTTTCCTAAGAATATATTCTATCTTTAGAAGTTGGGAGAGAGGCTTGATAATACATATCATCATGTATGAAGTGTGACCATCATGAACAGGACTGACTAGTGTAGTATAGTTCCAGAAAGATGCCTTCAGTGCCCAGCATGGGACTGGTACCTACATAATTAAATGGAAGTGGCCACCTCACTGGATTGAGTGATGCCCTGTGGGTGATTACTTTGATATCTAACACTAAGTCTTTGTCTTCACCCTTTTGGTGCCCCTGTATATAACGCTTTCTCCATTGAGCAAGTTAGGCTGATGGGTTTGGGGGACAGTCACATTGACCCCTCTCCCTGTTGCCTCTCCAGCATCATCATGGACACAATCATTTTACCTCTGAGTCGCTTCCTTCCAAGAAGGACCAGGAGGAGGGTGTGACGGAGAAGCTGCAGAATGGAGACCTGGACCACATGATTCCTCCTCATTGCAACAGCGAGACAGATGGCAAGATCCCCAGCCTCGACGAGAAGGTCATCGTAGGCTCTCTTTCAGTACAGGTCAGTGGCCATCAGCTGCTGGGATGGCCCAGCTCTTGGGAGGCTAAGGCAGGAAAATTGCCTGGCCCAGGAGTTCAAGACCAGCCTGGGCAACATAGACCTGTCTCAGAAGAAAAAAGAAAGGTCTTGGCCAGTTGGTGGAAAGGCTCAAGTAGTATAGCGCCTGCCTAGCAAGCATGAGGCCTGGAGTTGAATCCCCAGTACCAGAAAGAGAGAAAGAAAGGGAGAGGGGAGGGAGGGAGGGAGAAGAGAATGACAGGGAGGGAGGGAAAGAGAGAGGGAGGAAGTGGGGAAGGAAGAAAGGGAGAGGGAGGGAAGGAAGGAGAGAAAAGAAAAGAAAGAGAAAGGTCGGTGGTGGCCTCAGGTGAGTCAGGCTCATGGTCCACCCTGTGACCTTCTGTGGGCCATGGGGGTGTGCTTTCTCATAGGACCTTCAGGCATCCCAAAGTGCCTGCTACTGGCTAAAAGGTGTCCGCTACTCTGATATTGGCACCCTGGCCTGGATGATTACTCTAAGCGATGGCCTCCACAACTTCATCGATGGCCTGGCCATTGGTGCCTCCTTCACCGTGTCTGTGTTCCAAGGCATCAGCACTTCAGTGGCCATCCTCTGTGAGGAGTTCCCACATGAGCTGGGTAAGCATGTGTTGTCCCCTACTGTGCTGGCTCCCAATTATGGGTGCGGGCATCCTTCATATGGCTGCCCCACCTATGCTGTTCTCCCCCACCTCACAGTGCTCATTGTCATTAATTAACACACCTGCTAAGCTGTGTCATATCTAATCTGTCATAACAGTTGAAGATTATAGTTTAGAATGATGGAGTTTTTCACAGGGATCTTTGTCTCCTTTAGCCCTGTGTGCTGTGGCTCAATTTTCTCACCTGTACAATGGGTTAATAATAGCGCCATCCTGAGGATTAAAAAAGTAGTGGATACCCCATGCCACACATTATTGTAAGTGCTCAATAACAGTTATCTCTTACATCTTGTATCATCTCCCAAAAGCTAGAAGTCTGGCAGTGGATAAAGTGAGCTGAAGCTTAGGGATGTACTTAGTTTTATCAAGGGAGGCTATAAAAAGCCAGGCTCTCAGATGACTCAGTGTCAGATTCTGGCTTTGTCATTTATTGGCTTGTGACTGACTTCTGCCTTTCAAATTTCATTTCCTGCAAGTACCACCCATTGCAGTTGTGAACTAAATGATAAAAGAGTCATTGCTATTTGGTCATTACTTTCAAAATACTATGAATTATTTTCAGCTTCTAGGCTGAGAGAACATGACCAGTGTGGCAGACAGAGACAGCTCCTGAAGGAGAAAATGAAGGTGCCTTCATCTTGTTGCATAGTCTCCAGTTGGGCTGTCTTGATTTTTTTTACCCAGACTTCATCCATAGTTTAAGTAGTCTGACTCATCAATGTTCTCTGTCTCCTGACTCAACATCCTTCCTCTACTTTTCCCCGCTGTAGGAGACTTTGTCATCCTGCTCAATGCTGGTATGAGCATCCAACAGGCTCTCTTCTTCAACTTCCTTTCTGCCTGCTGCTGCTACGTGGGTCTGGCCTTTGGCATCCTGGCTGGCAGCCACTTCTCTGCCAACTGGATATTTGCACTGGCTGGAGGAATGTTCTTATACATTGCTCTGGCTGATATGGTAAGTCTGCCCTATGCCATGCAGGCAGAGCTAGACCAGGTTATTAAATCTTGGATAGGAAGACAGCCAAGAGGACATCAGCTAACTTTCTTTTTAATAACAGCTTTACCGAACTACCTTTCACATAACACAGTTTACTTACTTAGAGTATATAATTCAGTAATTTTTAAGGAGGCATTAGATTTAAAGGAAGAAACTTTATATTCCTATTAGCATATGTCATTAAAGAAAATTATTATACTAAATCCAGGGTCCTTACTTAAATAGGTGAAATATGGATAAAGAAAAAGAAAGAGTGGAAGAAAAATAAGGAAAAAATTATCTATATTTCTGCCCCAAAACAACAACAGTTAATACTTGAATTTGTTTCTTTTTTATCTCAATGCATTCTTTTCGGTGGTGGTATTATTTTGGGTATAACTTAGTTCCAGAACTAGAATTGCTGGCTCAAAGGGAGCACAGGTTAGGCAGGCAATAGTGTGTGCGTGCGTGCCTGCCTGCCTGCCTGCGTGCGTGCGTGCGTGCGTGCGTGCGTGCGTGTGTGTGTGTGTTGCTAAGGAGTGAACCCAGGGCCTTAGACACACATGCTAGACAAGTGCTCCACCACTAAATTAGAACTTTCTTAAAGGGTTTAACCTTCTTCCCTAATATTTGGTGTAACCATTAAGTAGTCTTGAATTCATAACGTGATTCTCTTATATTTAAAAAAATTAAATATCCTTTGATTTCTTTTGGCAATGCTGGGGATCTAACCATCCCCTGCACATGCTGGGTAAGTGCTCTCCCACTGAGCTACATCCCCATCCTGAAAATAAAACCTTTGACAAGACCATGGACCAGCCATACCCTGTAGAACAGTATAGGGCTTCTCTGGTGGGGAGCCTGCCCCATGGCCTGGTATGGTTTTGGCATTACTTGATGGTCTCATTGTTGTCACCTGCCTCACTGTCTTAGCAGTATGAGGCCTTGAGTCACAGCCATGTTGTAGTGCATTTTCTGTATTCTTACACAGTTGTTGAATTTCTCAACGAGGTAACAGTGATGTTTTTGTTTTGGTAGTAAAAGGATTTTTTTCAAGTGGTTTATTTATTTTTTTTTTTGGCAGTACTAGGGATTGGACGTAGAGTTTGCACATGCTAGGCAGGTGCTTTACCACTGAGCTGTATTCCCAGCCTTTTTCAAGTATTAAAGTCTACAATAAAAATTTTATTTTTAAATTAGAATACACATGTATCTTCAGCCAGCATCTAAACATCCAAGGCCACGGGCATGTTCTGGAGCCACCTTGGAGAACAACTGTCACATTCAAGGTCTAGCTATTACTTCTGTTAACTGGCTCAACCAAGTTGCAATATACTCCAGCCACTGAATTGCCCTGAACTTGCGAGGTGATGAGAGGAACTTCAGCGCTCTTGTTTTTCTCTCCTTTGTAGTTTCCTGAGATGAATGAGGTCTGCCAGGAGGATGAAAGGAAGGGCAGTGTCCTGATCCCCTTTGTTATCCAGAACCTGGGCCTCCTGACTGGCTTCACCATCATGCTGCTCCTCACTGTGTATTCAGGACAGATCCAGATCGGGTAGGGCCCTGCCAGGAGCCAGTGGGATCACAAGTCAGGCCCCGGGTGCCTGGTCCCTGGCCTTGAGGACTTGGCATCCACAAACCACCATGGAAGAGGCAGTGCCATAAGAAACTGACACAGACTGCCTGCCTCCATTCAGATGTCAGCTGTTTCAGAATGCTTTGTCTTAGGAAGAAGCTGTCCTGGTAACCATTCTCTAGGTAGTGCCTCGCCCCTCCACTCACAGTGATCCTGGAACTTGGACGCCATGTACAGGACAAGCCTCCCTTTTCTCTCTGGTCACTCTAGCCTCTTTCTCTTGGAAGCAGCACTGAGAGATTCTGAATTGTTTTACCCTGAAATGTAAAAATGAAGCCAGTGGCCCTAACTTGGTTAGAAGCATCATGGGGTAAGTGTATACTTCAGGACCCATGAATCCAAATGTGCACCCTGGACCCCAAACTGCCTGTTTTGACACGAGTTCTCTTGTTCTTACAGAGAAGGTGCAAGAGATCAAAAACTCTCCCACTTTTTTCAGTCTGTTCAGTTGCCTATTACTTCTGATTCAAAGAGAACTAAAAGTCAGAGAAGATGAATAGGGCAGGTGGAAAGGCAGAGGTCATCCTGACCCTGACTGAGAGCGAATAGAATTAGTGATGTGTGTCCTGTCGGGTTCATTTATTTCCACCAGGATGCTGGATGTTGATTATGTGCAGTCCTTGGTGTCTCATGACCATCCAGGTGAGCCAATATGGAGGTGCAGTTGCCTGGACTGCTTCTTCTTTCAGATTAATGCTGACAGAATGCAGGGGCCAGAAATCTACAAAAAACAATTATGTTTATAGTGACTTCCACCTCCCCTTCCCACCTCCCTTTCTCTAATAGCATTTTAGGTGCCTCCCTAGAAGCACATTCTGAGCACACTTAGGTGTTTGCATTGGAGGGGAGACTGCACAAATTTCCTCCCCTTGTCACAACTCGTGCAGCAGAGTAGCAAGCTGACTTGTGCAATTGGAGTTTGATAGTGTGTGCTTCACTATAACAAGGGTAATCAGAAATGGAATCACTGTAGGCAAAATTTAGGACTTACTAATTACATAAATAAAAGTATGAGTACTAGGAGACTCTGGACCATGAGGTCAAACATGTGGCTTGGGGGCACTTACGTGTCACTGTTGCATGTGGGACTTAAAGGGCACTGTCTAGGTCACTGCTTCCTCCCTGCCCCATACAAAAAAGATTGATTCCTGTATTACATTGAGTGTGAATTGCTCTAATTCTCTCCAGAAAACTGATGGATATGCGTGTCTTTAACACTATAGGCCAGCCTCAGGCACTGTGGAGCCCCCTCTTCAGAACTCTGGCTTCCAGGGGAGCTAACCTCCAGGTTCACTAGGTGAATTGATTTATTATTATCATATTGATAATGTGGATTCTTTAGCCACTTTGGGGAGCCAGTCTCTCCCAGAGTCTGTCTTAGTGGTACCCACAGATGAAGCCCAGGGGCCATGTTTGCAGGACTGACAAGAGTACTGGTTCATTGCCAACTCCTGAGTTTTTCTGTTCTTACACGGAAAAACTATCCACTGTTAGTAATTAAAAAGCAACATCTACTTTGTTTTTTCTTCTTGGGAAACATCCCTCAAACCAGGAATATTCCTGAAAAGAATATAAGTGGGAAAACTGGTAGTGGTAGTGATACTTGATAAGTTTCTCTCCTGATTTTGCCTGTTAACTTGGATAGATTTGAGAAAAGACTGAAGAAGGAGGAAACTTCAATGATCAAGATTCTAGATTGAATGTCAGGACCAACTCCTGATAGGGTTAGGGTCCTAATCCTAAGAACCAAAGAACCAAATCCTTGAATGTCGGAATCTAACTTTTCATATTATCCTTGTTGATATTGTTTTAAAACAATTCTTTGTCTTTTCTGTTTTATTTTTTTCAAACTGCTTTCAGGAGCTAGCAGAAAATGACACTCAAAAATAAAAGACTGGGGCTGGGGGTTTTGCTCAGTGATAGAGCACATGCCTAGCATACGTGAGGTCTTGGTATCCATCCTTAGCATTGCCAAAAACCAAAAAACTGGATGATTTTGCATTTCCTAGCTCACACCAATGTATTAAAATGTTAATTTTAGCATTCCCTATAGATCCTGTCATTCCTTAAAAATATCATTTGTCACCGGGTGCCAGTGGCTCACTCCTATAATCCTAGCAACTAAGGAGGCAAAGATCAGGAGGATCACTGTTCAAAGCCAGCATGGGCAAATAGTTCTCAAGACCCTATCTTGAAAATACCCATCACAAAAAGACGGCTGGTGGAGTGGTTCAAGGTGTAGGCCCTGAGTTCAAGCCCCAGTACCACCAAATATATATATATCCTTTGTCTTGGAGTAGAATTCTGAGTTAGAGTTAGTGGGTTTCTAAGTTTAGGAGATGAGCTTAAAAACATAATCTTTAACAAATTGAAAAATAAATATGAAATTGTAGGGTGCTTGCCCTGTTAGTGCACACTTACATTAACTCAAGAACTTTTCCTTCATAGACAGCTAGCTGCTCCAAGGGTGATCCTCTTGAAACTGCATTGTGCAGAAACAAGCCCCAGTCAGAGCTTAGGACGGAGGGATGGACACACTAAGGTCATCTGACCATCGCCACTGGCAACAGATTTGCCTATGAGTTGAAAACGTGGCAATTTCTTTTTTGACTTTTAAGTGTTAAATTTGCTGTTTTAAGCATTTGTACATATTAGAAGTCTAAGGAGTAGTGAGTTATGTGGAGGGTTTTTTCTCTCCTGACATTAGCACTGTCAACCTCTCTCTTTGCAGATGGACCAGCTCCTATTAACACTAGCAAGGAAAGTACATGTCACATGCAGGAGCTCTTATCCAGAGACAGGGTTTTGCTACTTCTCACCTTGCTCCTGAACTCACCTCCTGTCCTCGTCCACAAAGGCATTTTGTGTCTAGTGTCAGTCAATGCAGGGCTGTTCTTCAATGGTCTTTCACCCTGGGTTTAAAAAAGACTTCTGTTTCGGTAGCCTAAGGTCTGTTTTTAGTAATTCTTCTTCCAAAGAGATGGAAACCTGCTTTAAAAAAAAGTGATTTTTACAAAAGAGAGGTTAGGTTTTATTCGTATTTCCCTTTACAGTTCTACAATTCCATCACAGTATTTTCTTTAAATAACTCAGGTGTTATGAGGAAAATTAGAAAAGAAAATAACTTATGTTATGTGAACTGTAAATGTTTTATTTGTAAGATTCTATAAATAAAACTATATTCTGTAAACTGTTGAGAATTCCTTGTGTGGTATTTGGTGTAATGAATCCTGGTAAACACAGGGTGGCGATCATGTTGTGCTGACCTACAAAACTTTGTTTTACCAAATCTAGCTTACATTTTTGACTATGGGATTTTAGAAAGACCCTTATATGTCAGAATATGCTTAAAATTGATTAGCTTTATGCGTGGGTACAGCACTTGCCTAGGTTACATGAGACCCTAGATTTGATCCCTAGCAAAAAAAAAAAAAAGATTCATTTTTTAATGAAATCTGTAACTTACATTGTATGACAAAAAAATTATAACCAGACACCATGGCTCATACCTGTAATCCTAGCTACTCAGAAGGCAGAAACTGGAAGAATCAAGGTTCAAGGACATCCCAGGCAAAAAGTTAGCAAGACTCCCATCTTGGCCAATAAAAGGCTGGTGTGGTATTATGTGCCTGTCATCCAAGCTATGTAGGAAGTGAAAATAGGAGGATCACAATCCAGATTTCAGGGTATAAATGCAAGACCCTATTTGAAAAACACCTAAAGCAAAAAGGCTAGGGTATGGCTCAAGTGTGAAAGTACCTGCCTAGCAAGCACATGGTCTTGAGTACAACCCTCAATATCTCCAAAAATGTTTTTAGCGCTTTTGAGCTGGGTGGTAGCTCAGTGACAGCACACCTGTCCTATCACCCCATTTTCTCTTCAAATCCACCATTTGAAACGTAATTGGCTTAGTTCACTTAAGCCACATGTGTATGTCTTAGAGGAAATGTCCAGTTTCATGAGACAAATTCCATTTTAGTTGTCTTTCTTCAACAACAGAAACAAGCAGTCAGGTAGGAGATCACTCCTGTGACTAACATATATTTGAGATCCTCAACTACTTTCTGCTCAGTCCTCCCCCTGACCATATTTTTTTTTTGAGACAGGTTCTTGCTACATAGTCCAGGCTGGCCTCAAACTCCTATCAGCCTTTCCATGCTGGGATTATGGTATGCATCACCATACCCTGTCTTTTTATTGTTGCTTTAATTTAATTATAATATATTAAGTAATAATAATATATTAATAATAAATTAAGTAGATCATATTGGTCTTTTAGCATTTTTTGTGGTGCTAGTGATTGAACCCAGGATCTCACATACTCCAGGCCGAGTGCTATGCCACTGAACCACAGCCCCAGCGGCTCTGTGTCGGTCTTTTAATTTATGTCCACCTCTGCCACTTTTAGGAGTTGTTCTAAGTGGCACTCCATTCTTTGGCTTCTGCGCCTCCTCTGGAAATCCTTCCCACCTGCCCTCCTTATTGCCTTCCCAGGCTGGGTTTGTTTTCTCTCTTTGCATTCCTCAGTTACAGGACTTGCATTTCAATTGCTGTTTTCACACAAACTCCTGGGTGGAGGATATATCTAGTTTCTTTCTGTGATCTTCACACCTGCCATGCAGAAAGAATGAATGAAAAGACCAAATGGAATGCCTGTGAGTTCTGGGTCAGTGAACAGCCCCTTTCCTTTGACAGCAGCTGTCAGTGATGGTTTTACTTATGCCATCTTAACCTGGTCCATCTTTATTTAGAAGCCTAAATTTGAAAGAAGTGGATTTGTGGTCCTCCTGGGACAGAAGTAAACAGGCCATTAAGAAGATTAAAACCTTGACTGCAGCCATCTCTTTGTAATACTCTTAACCAGCTAAGCCCTTAGGACATTTTTGGTGGGAGGTGAAATGCACTAAAATCAGAAAGGTGTTACAAATTAGTGCTTTTCTTCTGTCGTTCCTTCTGAACTTCTTCTTTACCATTCAATGATGCCCAGATCTGATAGGAGCAAAATCCATTCCAAGAAATAGCAAAGATACTACAGGTGGACACAATACTTCTGGTCAATGGAAAAACAAAATGTCTATCTTCAAGATTTTGTATTCTTCATGACTTTTGGAATACCTACACTATATGGACTAACAGGTTCAAATCCTTGTAGAGGCGAATCCCTTTGTCCTGGAATAAACTGAATTACATTCCACTATAGTAGATGGCTTTTTCAGGTTGCTTATTATATTATTAGTAGTAGTAGTATAGTAAAAAGTAAGTGGTTGAGAAAGATCCAAAGG